CTCCATTCGGCAATAAACCCTACTGGGGATCAGTATCCCGCTTGGCACGTATCCTTTGAGAGAACAAGGGCGATGGGACGAGTTCATCCTCGCAACGCACCCATGAGAGAAGAAACGACGTTGGACGAGGATCAACGTGTGACGCACCTATGGGAGAAAATACGAACGTGGGACGAGATCAAACGTGTGACGCACCATCGGAGAAAGAACGGACGTGGAACGAGATCCAACGTGGGACGCACCATTCGGAGAAGAACGAACGTGGGACGAGATCAACGTGTGACGCACCATCAGAGAAGAACGACGTGTGACGAGATCAACGTGGGACGCACCATCGGAGAAGAACGACGTGGGACGAGATCAACGTGGGACGCACCATCGGAGAAGAACGACGTGGGACGAGATCAACGTGGGACGCACCATCGGAGAAGAACGACGTGGGACGAGATCAACGTGGGACGCACCATCGGAGAAGAACGACGTGGGACGAGATCAACGTGGGACGCACCATCGGAGAAGAACGACGTGGGACGAGATCAACGTGGGACGCACCATCGGAGAAGAACGACGTGGGACGAGATCAACGTGGGACGCACCATCGGAGAAGAACGACGTGGGACGAGATCAACGTGGGACGCACCATCGGAGAAGAACGACGTGGGACGAGATCAACGTGGGACGCACCATCGGAGAAGAACGACGTGGGACGAGATCAACGTGGGACGCACCATCGGAGAGGAAAGACGAGGGACGAGATCAACGTGGGACGCACCATCGGAGAGGAAAGACGAGGGACGAGATCAACGTGGGACGCACCATCGGAGAAGAACGACGTGGGACGAGATCAACGTGGGACGCACCATCGGAGAGGAAAGACGAGGGACGAGATCAACGTGGGACGCACCATCGGAGAGGATCAACGAGGGACGAGATCAACGTGGGACGCACCATCGGAGAAGAACGACGTGGGACGAGATCAACGTGGGACGCACCATCGGAGAGGAACGACGAGGGACGCACCATCGGAGAGGAACGACGAGGGACGAGATCAACGTGGGACGCACCATCGGAGAGGAAAGACGAGGGACGAGATCAACGTGGGACGCACCATCGGAGAAGAACGACGTGGGACGAGATCAACGTGGGACGCACCATCAGAGAAGAAGGACGTGGGACGAGATCAACGTGGGACGCACCATCGGAGAAGAACGACGTGGGACGAGATCAACGTGGGACGCACCATCGGAGAAGAACGACGTGGGACGAGATCAACGTGGGACGCACCATCGGAGAAGAACGACGTGGGACGAGATCAACGTGGGACGCACCATCGGAGAAGAACGACGTGGGACGAGATCAACGTGGGACGCACCATCGGAGAGGAAAGACGAGGGACGAGATCAACGTGGGACGCACCATCGGAGAGGAAAGACGAGGGACGAGATCAACGTGGGACGCACCATCGAAGATGAACGACGTGGGACGAGATCAACGTGGGACGCACCATCGGAGATGAACGACGAGGGACTCCCCATCGGAGAGGAACGACGAGGGATGAGATCAACGTGGGACGCACCTTCGGTGAGGATAGACGAGGGACGATATCTACGTGGGATTCTCCATTATAGAGGAGCGATGTGGGACGATATTAACGTGGGACGCATATCGGTGAAGAAGAACGTGTGACTTGATCTGCTAGGTTCTCACCTTCGTTGTTGAACTACGAGTGA